GGAAGGAGGTTTGTGGCCCCAGTGACTAATGGATTCCCTCGTCTGCCTGGGAGTGTGTTGACAACCAGGGAATAACCAGGGAATTGGACTCTCCATGTGGCAGGAGGGGGCATCTCCCAGCCTTCACTCCTGATTGCTTTTCCAGCACCTGAGCTGCCCCGCTGGGATCCCAGCTTTCCCTTCCCAAGTCCAGGCAGCGTCTGTGCTGGGCCCTGCCGGGACCTTCCTCCTCACGTGAGGCATGTCACGGCTGGCACTAGCCCTGGCCTGGGCCTCGGGTGTGGTGGGCCCACGGTGTGTCAGGCCCCAGGCATGGTGGGCCTCAGCTGTGGTGGCCCCGGGTGTGGTGGCCCCGGGTGTGAAGGTCCCGGGTGTGGTGGCCCCGGGTGTGGTGGCCCCGGGTGTGGAGGCCCCCGAGGAGAAGTGTATCCTGGAGATTAGGCGGGTGCGTGAGAGCTCCCAGCTCAGCCACAAGAGCAACACGTGTTGCCCACCCAGCCTTGCCCAGGGCTTGCTCCTGCCTGCACTGAGACCCCTCGGCAGGACCTAGAAGCCAAGCCTGGGGTAGGGCCTCAGCAGCGACTGCAGGCTGCCCATGTGCCCAGACAGTTTCTTCTGAGCCTAGAGTGGGCCCCTGAGGCTGCCTGTCCACTTGGCCCAGGCAGGGCGCTCTGGACACCTGGTGATTCCAGGTGGAGAGTGGAGCTCAAGCGCCTGCTGGTTGTGCGTGCAGAGTCCGGAGGCTACAGCCAGCGGGGATTCATTTCGGAGAGTACAGAACAACTTTTTGTTTTTATAAACCAGCTTTTGAAGGTTGCATTTAAAAACTTGGGCTGACAGGGTCTGAGAGGATGCGTTTGCCTTTAGTAGAGTTTTGGATTTTGTGGCAGAGTGTCCGTGACAGTTAAGGGGTAATGGGACAGATTCAGCTCCCGACATGAGACCCACTGCACAGGTGCACATCGGGGCGGCTCTGCCTGCCACGCAGCTCTGTGCACATCAGAGTGACCGCGTGACTTCCTCGCACAGAAAATAGCTCTTCTGGGCTGACACCTGTGCCCTGGGCCTGTGGACACCCTGTCCAGGCAGCATGCGTCCGTGGTTATCCGAACAGTAAGAAGAAACGCAGGGATTTCTTGATCCACGCAGGCAGGTGGATGACCCGGGCACACGGCGTTCCTGTTAAATTCTAAGTGTGGATAAGACGGCTGCCAGGCCGCTCTTTCCAGAGCCTCTTCATGTGGCTACTAATAGCGAAATACATCTTAGATGGCTTTTTAAACATAGCATTTAGGGTATTTGTTTCTCCTTTCAAAAGAGAAGAATCCCTTCCAAAAGTAGGCGAACCGGAAAGGCCCAGCCTGGCCGCTTTCCGCATGAGTGGCCACGACTTTGCTGGATTGAAAGGCGAAGAAGGGAACAGGCCAGCTTTGGCCCGTTCAGCCCGGCCTGATCACTCCTTTACAGCCTGTGAATGAGGCGGCTCCGGGGAGGGGTGGGGGGTGGCCGGCCCCCTCCTGGGCCCTGGGGTCCATCCGATGTTTGTCCTTCGGGAGCCCGCCTGAAGTGCTGAGATAAAGCGGTTTTTAAACAGTCTCCCGCAGATGCCTTTTGGGAGACAGAGCCATGAATTTCCTGAGCCGTGTCCTGGGGTGGCTACAATGGCCGTCTGCCTGCCAAGGCTTCTCCCATTCAGGGAAAGCAGCTTAAGCCACTTAAGCCCATTAGCATCTGGATGGGGCCGGACCGCCTTGGGACGCAGCGATGGGCAGGGTGGCCCGCTGCGCCCTGGCTGGTTGGGTGCTTGTTCTAATCCTCACACTGTTTGAAGGCTCCAGACTGATTTGTGACACATGAGTCCAAAAGCCACTTTGGAGGCTTGACCCGATCAGCCGGTCTGTGCTCTGAATGTCAACGGCCTGCCCTGGAGTGTGCTTTGGGGATAGCGGGTGGCCGCCTCCTGGCCCAGGCTGGGACGCTGCACACCAGCCACAAGGAGGTGGACGCTGCATCTTGGCAGGAGGCGGGTCAGGCCGCCGAGGGGCCCTACAGTTCCTCTCAGTTCCTGCTGAGCACACGCCCAGAACCCCCGGCCCAGGGGTGTCCTCCTGATGCCCGGCTCTGAGCCCCGACCAGCACCCGGGGCATTGGGGTGCCCCTCAGCAGCACCAGCTCCCAAGGGCCCTTTCAGGGAGAAATTTTTAAAGCCAAAGTTACTTTTGGTGCAGTCGTCATTTTATAAAACGAAACTCATATATTATTTTCTTAAAAAAACAGCTTTCTAGTCCAGGTGCAGCTACTCACACCTGTAATCCTAGCACTTTGGGAGGCTGAGATGGGACAATCGCTTGAGCCC